CAAGAGGAATACGACAACTGTAGCCAAATTCCTTGACACGTCTGTGTGTGGTGGCTCTTGATGCCTTGACCCCAGCCTCAGTCCATTCCTTGTGAAGTTCACTCAAATTCTTGAATCGATTTTGCTTGACAATCCTCAATGCTGCAGTTCTCTCGGTTGGTTGTGCATCTTTTTATTCCACACTTTTTCCTTCCACTCAACTTTCTGTTAACATGCTTGGATACAGCACTCTGTGAACAGCCAGCTTCTTTGGCAATGAATGTTTGTAGCTTACCCTCCTTGTGAAGGGTGTCAATGATTATCTTCTGGACAACTGTCAGATCAGCAGTCTTCCCCATGATTGTGTAGCCTAGTGAACCAAACTGAGAGACCATTTTGAAGGCTCAGGAAACCTTTGCAGGTGTTTTGAGTTGATTAGCTGATTGGCATGTCACCATATTCTAATTTGTTGAGATAGTGAATTAGTGGGTTTTTGTTAAATGTGAGCCAAAATCATCACAAGTAAAAGAACCAAAGACTTAAACTACTTCAGTCTGTGTGCATTGAATTGATTTAATACACTAATTTCAGTTTGAATAAAAATTCCATCCAAAAAATTTCAAATTCTTCAGTAATTTATATGTTTGCAGCTTGTATCAGCTGGATGCAGAATCACATTCATATTCATGTTGTTAGTGAATAACCATTTATGAAACTATAAAGAGTCTTTTCTGTTGGGGACTTTGTCATACTGCACTTGTGCTGATGTACCCTTGTGGATGAATCTAAATTACTAACAGACTGGAGTACAGAGACAATGTGTGCGTTTACATCACACGTTATCCAAACTTAAATCACATCAACACATGCTGCCAGTGGAGGGGTTTTAGTTTTGAGTTTCTGTGATCGTCTTTCCCAAATGAGAGAGAGCGTGAGAGGGAGGGCACACAGGCAGGGTGCTTGAGAGTGAGTGTGAATGAGAGGAAGTCACAGACAGACAGTCTCAGTGCATGAGAGAGGGATGAACTCTGCTCTGGCTGAAACAAGCAGTGTGTGGATTGAAGTGGGAGAGAGTGGCGAGGCTCCAGCTGTAATGTGTGTGTTTTGAGAGAGGTGCGGCGTGGTATTAGGGAGGTAAATGTAGGCGCCTGTGGTCTCTCTCCCACTCACAGCTGAGACAGATTGCGTTTATACCTGGTTTTAACATGCGTCTCCTGCGACCACTTGTGATTCGATGGAAGGGTCTCTGATTTAGTGACTAAACATTATTTTATCTGTTCTAACTTAATGTTGTTACAGTGGTGCTTGACATGACCTGCCATTGTATGCTGATATCAGACGCAAACACCTGTTATTCCAGACAAAGACACACATCTTAGCAAACATGTCAGTGATATCCAGAATGAGAGTCCACAGTAAAGAAAAGAAAAATGTTTCAAAAATGTACTTTAAAACAAACGTGCCGAGTTCTTAGAAATATACTATTAGTATTCATGCTGGTTTCATATAGTTTTGAAAAACCTTTTTTCATTTCCAAGACAAGTTTGCTTTTAAAAGTGTTTAAATTACTTTAAAACTGTTATGTGGTGTAACAGTCAATTAAAAATCTTGTTCTAACACCTTGAATATATGTGAGTGACATTTTTGCAAATATCATGAATTAGTGATTTTGTTTATTAATTGTTTATTAGAAGTACTAGTTTTGGGGAGATCTACCTTAAAAGTTAAATTATTGGATAATTTGTCATATTTTATATAGCAGTCAAAGCAGTGAAGCGGTTTAAATATTTTTTAGAATTAATTAAAAATATATCTGAAATAAAAGATTGTGCTAAAGTACTTAGAATGAATTTAATGAATAAAATAATTACTAATCAGGTTTTTATTTCAAGAATTTTAAGTTTCTTTAATTAATTTTTCTTCATTATTGATCACCCACACATTTGACTCTATACCATTAAAAAATATCATAATGAATTTTAGTTGAGAAATGAAAAAAAAAAAAAAAAAAACATGCTCATTATAGAAAATGTGTATTCAAGCTATATTGTATGTATGAATTGCATTTTTAAATAAGTTAATAGATCCATACAAAAAAAATGACCGTCTTATCATTGTCTCAAAAACTACAAAATTCCCAATCCCAGTCTGAATTAATGAAATAAATATCATCATGTTAGCATGATGTAAGGATACTGGAGTAATATTACTGGATATTGCTACTTCTCGTCGTTCTTTCTCAGGGCTTATTGCGTGATGTGTCTACATTGGTGACACTCATTGGTTCTCTGAGATTGATCGCTTGAGCTGTCTTACAGCGAGGCTTTTTGGTTCTCTTCATGTGTGAAACTTTGGATTTCTGTCCAGCTGTCCCACTCAACTTCGTCCAGACAGAGTGTCTGGTTCTCTAAGCACACAACTCCATTTAATCAATAAAAAGGCAGGCTCTCCTCTTAAAAATGCCATACACATGCACATTGTCTCTGCAGTGGCTTCTGTCTGTAATCATTGAAATGACCCAAGAGGAATTCTTGTAATGTGGCAAACCTTCATTTAGTCCCATTTCACACTCTTCAGAGAATATAATACAGCTTGACCTTTACATGATACACAGGGCTTTGATCTACGGATGTCAGGGTTGTTTTGTGCTTGTCCTGTGAAGTACACATCTGGCCATGACTCAGTAATACTTCTTTTATATGCAGATGCTGGGACACACAAGTGGCTCTTCACAGCACTAGTGTAAACTGCGTTAGTTTGTCTGTATGCACCTAATACAGAAGCATGCAGTCTCATGTTTAGGAATATGACCGAGCTCCCTGTTTCTAACTCGTATTTTCTCTCTGTATTAATTTACTTTCTTTTTGCAGTTAATACTGATACAGAAACAGCAGTGGTGAATGTGACATATTCAACAAAAGAAGAGGCTAAAATGTAAGAATCTAAGAATTAAGGTTTTGTTTTAGGGATGGACAGTGTAGCCAAAATCATATGTTGACAATAAAGGGTTAGTTCACCCAAAAATGAAAATTAGCCCACAAATTACTCACCCTCAAGTCATCCTAGGTGTATATGACTTTCTTCTTTCAGACGAATCCAGTCGGAGTTATATTAAAAATTGTCTTTGATCTTTCAAGCTGTTTAATGCCACTCAGCGGGTGTTGCATGCATCAGTCCAAAAGAAGTTAAATAAAAAGTGCCCATCCATGAAAAAGGGGGGTGAACAAAGGCCTTCTGTAGCGAATCGATGCGTTTTAGTAAGAAAAATATCCATATACAAAATGTAATAATCACTTTAATGTAGCTTGCGTTCACTGTTGTTCACGGAAGCAGCTCCGGGCGGATGACGTATGAGGTCGGCTTTGCGCATGCGCCGCTCAGAAGTGACGAACGCGGAAGCGCAGGGGAGAGATCAAAACAAAACACCGGTCACTTATTAGAAGTACAAAACGAGGATTTGTAAAGAAGAATGTCGTAGGATTCGAGAGGAGACTGGTTTTCCTTTGCTAAAGTAAGAAAACTTTGCTTCCTTTGCTCTTGTTAACAAACGTTGGTTTTCACAAGACTCAATGGCGCATGCGCAGCACTGACCTCATACGTCATCCGCCCGGAACGGCTTCCGTGTAGGTACTAGGATGACTTGAGGGTGAGTAATTTGTGGGCTAATTTTCATTTTTGGGTGAACTAACCCTTTAAGTTTTTACTGTAGTTATTTTTGCTCATTTTAATATTATTAAAAATATTTATTATTCTTTTACATGAAATTTAGAAATAATATAATAATTTATATTTTTTATTACAATTATAGTATAAAGCACCTTTTTATTGTTGACTAAATTGTTGTTGATTTCGTTAATTGAAATAAAGCTGATTTAAAATAAAATATACATATTAGATAAAACTTAAACTTCAAAAAATATTAAAGCTAAATAGAAATATTTAAACTACTAAAAATAAAAGCAAAATGACAAACTTAAACTAAAATTAAAATGAAAACTGAATATATAAAAAGCTGTGTCAAAATATTCTAAATCCTATAATAGTAAATTAATAATATTAATATAACTTTAATAAAATTAATAATAATTTTATAAGTAAAATTGTATGCTATTACTAAACTATATAAATATTTTTTTTTGTCACATTAATAATATATATCAGAATATTTTTAAATCCCAAAATGTTACAATAAATCACTCCCATTATAATTGTCAAAGTTTTCTGCATTGTACATGCCCTTCTTCAGAACTTCTAACGGTTGACATTTTTAACTGTCACTGGTTATATACCATCATACTGATTTACAAAATAGCAGTACAAAACTCACCATCTGTACACTGTCATTATATTCCACTGATAATTGTCCCCCTCTGTGTCTTCAGAGCTGTAGAGAAGTTAACAGGACAGACGTTTGAAGATTACTCCTTTAAAGTGTCTTATATTTTGGATATGGATGCTGCTCCACCTCTGCCTGTGACCCGGAATCGTCGCAGTGGAAGGACATCACGGGAACAGGACTCGCAGCCTGGGACCTCTGGAGGCTCCCTGGGGCCCCGACAGAAACAACCAGACTTCCCCCTGCGCATGCTGGTGCCCACGCAGTTTGTGGGAGCCATCATTGGCAAGGAGGGGCTCACAATCAAAAACATCACCAAACAGACACAGTCTAAGTGAGTGAGAGAGAGTGAGATCCTTAAATGTATTGAACAGGCATCTGTGGTTGATAAGATTCTGAGGAATTCTTTCAGTGCACTGGAATTAATATGCATTTATTTATATTACTTACATAATACATAATAAATTCATTAATTACAAATGTGATATACACTACCATTCAAAAGTTTGGAGTCAGTAAGATATTTGGAAACACCTTGCAATACATTTTTTGGAAACACTTTACAATACATTTTTAACCACATTATTTAATGTGAACTGACAATTAACAGTAACTAAGATTAATAAATGCAGAAGTATTGTTTACCTCAACTTTTTCTAATACATTTTTAAGATCAAAAGTTGTTAGTTACATTAGTTAATGCACTGTAAACTTAAATGAACATTTTTTATTAATTAACATTAACAAATGTTAATAAGTGCTGTAAAAATATACTGCTCATTGTTAGTTCATTAGTTAATGCATTAACTGTTAACAAATGAGATCTCATTTGAATGTTTTACAGATTTTTTTTTTTGTTTTTTGAAAGAAGCCTCTTTTGCTCACCAAGGCTGCATTTATTTTAATTAAAAATACAGTAACAACAGTAATATTGTGAAATATTAAAACAACATCAACATTATTATTGAAATATATTTGAATATATTTTAAAGGGTTCCTATTATGCTTTTTCACTTTTTCAACTTTAGTTAGTCTGTAATGTTGCTGTTTGAGCATAAAAAAGATCTGCAAAGTTACAAAGCTCAAAGTCCACTTCAAAAGGAGGTATTTTATTTAACAGAAATCACTTTTCAAAAACTACAACGAACGACTCGTTTGGACTACAACACATATTTTCCGGGATTTGTGATATCACAAATACAGACGAATGGGACGAGACCTGGTTGAGCTGCACTAGAGGAGGCAACGAGTGTTATCACTATGTGGAGACATGCTAGCTTTCCCAAGACAGACGAACTTAGAGTGATTACAATCATCCGGGTTTAAATCGCTCTCAAATTGATTTGATTTTGACGCAATATTTACACTGAAGCTCGCATGGAGCTATGGTAAGGGGCATGACATTTCCCGACCAGGCGCCGAGTGCTGCCAGTCACAACACACACTGGCCCAGCTAACCAATCACAACACATTTCGTATTTCAGAAGGCGGGCCTTCATTTGATACAGGAACTATTCGAGCCGTTCATGCCAGACTGGGGAGAGAGGTGTTGTAATGATGTAAAATATGTGAAAAATAATGTTTTTTCAAAACAAAATCAAACCCAAAAAAAAAAACCAAGATCAAGACTTTGTAAAAGAGCATAATAGGACCCCTTTAAAATGTAAAAATAAAATGTATTCCTGTGATGGCAAAGCTGAATTTTCAGCATCATTACTCCAGTCATCAGTGCATGATCCTTCAGAAATCATTCTAATATGCTGATTTGCTGCTCAATACATTTTTATTATTATCATCAATGTTGAAATCAGTTGTGCTGCTTAATATTTTTTGTGGAAACCATGATACAATTTTTTTGCGAATTCTTTGATGAATAGAAAGTTCAAAAGAACAATTTATTTTGTAACATTATGAATGTCTTTACTTTCACTGATTAGTTTAACACATTCTCGAATAAAAATTTTATTAAAATGAATTTATTTTACAAAATTACTTGCTGACTTAAGTTTTAAACAGTAGTGTACATAGAAATGCTACAATTAAATAGTTTACATAATATATTTAAACACACACACAAAAAAAGAGTACTATTCATCGCTAAGATCATTAGTATATTTTGCACACTTAAGTATCCTGGAAATATGTTACATTTATTAATCAAATTTGGCCGTAAGTGTCAATTCACAGTGATTTAAAAAACCTGCTTTATGACAGTAAGAACTCTTCTTGAAGCTTTGATCTCTGCTGAATAGTCATGTTCTCGTCCTTACAGGGTGGACATCCATCGTAAGGAGAACACCGGAGCGGCGGAGAAGCCGATCAGCATCCACTCCACTCCTGAGGGCTGCTCTGCCGCGTGCCGCATGATCATGGACATCATGCAGAAAGAGGCTGATGGCACGAAGGTGTAAGTCTGAATCTTCTGAAGTCATGGGACTTCTTTAATTACATCTCTGTAGTTGCCAACTTGTGGTCTTGCTTCTGTAGAACTGAGTGCACACTTAAGTATCCTGGAAATATGTTACATTTATTAATCAAATTTGGCCGTAAGTGTCAATTCACAGTGATTTAAAAAACCTGCTTTATGACAGTAAGAACTCTTCTTGAAGCTTTGATCTCTGCTGAATAGTCATGTTCTCGTCCTTACAGGGTGGACATCCATCGTAAGGAGAACACCGGAGCGGCGGAGAAGCCGATCAGCATCCACTCCACTCCTGAGGGCTGCTCTGCCGCGTGCCGCATGATCATGGACATCATGCAGAAAGAGGCTGATGACACGAAGGTGTAAGTCTGAAACTTCTGAAGTCATGGGACTTCTTTAATTACATCTCTGTAGTTGACAACTTGTGGTCTTGCTTCTGTAGAACTGATGATATTCCTCTGAAGATCCTGGCCCACAACAGTCTGGTTGGAAGACTGATCGGGAAGGAGGGCAGGAACCTGAAGAAGATTGAAGAGGAGACAGAGACCAAAATAACCATCTCCTCGTAAGTGTCTGTTGCATTTTATGGCGTTCATCAGGTGAAAACAAGGAAAGCTCATAATTATTTCTCTATCATGTGAAATTCTCTATGGAGGCATACATGATTACTTGGTTCACCATGGAGAGCTCTTTTGATAGGAAATAGAGTGTTTTGTGGTTAAGATGTTGATCATAACATGACCTGAACATGTGACATTTTGTAATGGGCTGCTAAGTGCTGGGATCTGGTTCAGAGCATCAGAGTACAGGTGGTTTTATGTATTTCCCAGAAATAAAGTGTGTGCTGGGCACACAGATAGCTTAGGAAGTGAGTCACCCAATTAAGCCCTAACCAGGACTGCTGACGTCATTGCTTAGCTGTCCCTCTAAAAACAGCCTCATTTACCAATGCTGTAATTATTTAAGACACTTTTTAATATTAGTCAATACCAATATGATCACATCATACACACAATATAATAATAGTAATGATAGCAAAGATACTGACCCATTCAAATGTAATAATAAAAAAAAAACATTCTGGTCACATCATATCCACTTAATTAAAAATTCCCTCAATAGGAACACTGCTCTGATCTGACCAAAGTAATGCGTTTCTCAAACTGGTACCAGTGATTTTACTCTCACCTACTTTTTGTCTTTCTTGATTCTTTCCACAGTTTACAGGACTTAACTATTTATAACCCAGAGAGAACCATTATAGTGAAGGGGAGTATTGAGGCTTGTTGTAGGGCTGAAGTGGAGATCATGAGAAAGCTGAGGGAAGCCTATGAGAACGACAATGCTGCTATTAACGTAAGTGTTTGTGCTTTTTTGACGAAAGGAAAATGTGTTTTCCACTTTTTAGCCACCGTTTTTGTCATAATGAATATGACATTTTTTAGATTTAACTCAAAGAAATGCTGATATGCTCTTTATAAAACTGTTTATTGTGTGTCGAGTGTGGTCAACCTTGAGTCATCATCTTATAGAAGACGAGGCAGTTAGATGCCTCGTCTGTTTACTTGTGTTCAGTTACTGACTGTGTTTATAGGAAACAGCCTTGAGTCAGTCCGTCCCCTGCCGTGCATACGGAGAACTCACTGTCATCCTGGCAACAGCCGTTCACACAGACATGCTCGCACATGTACACCATTCCCAGTTAGCACGCATGACATCACTGCCTGTGTCTGAGGGAAGTGAAGCCATAGACTGAGAGCAAATACTGTAACAATAGCATCATCATTCTTGTTTACACCGGCGCATCCAACGTCTCCCTTCATCTTCAGTGAGTCATTTATTTTGTGGAAGAAGCCTCTATCAACTACACAGATCAAATTTATGCGGTTTCATTTATACTCACGCATTACTCGGTCCTCAGTCAGGCGTACAGTAAATTATTCATGCTTGGATCAAGTGTTTTTGCGACTGTTTCATGTGTAAATGTCTGTTAGTTGATCCTTGTAACCTTCATTCCCTTTTGAATGAGAGATGCACAGCAGATGAATCAGATAGAATATGAATAATCAGGCATATGAACTTCTCTGTCAAGAATAAACAGCATAAAAACTTCCATCTAAAAGTGTTTGCCACATAAAACGATGCACTGGGTTGATGGAGCCACCTAGCGTGACGGTAGCGATATTACAACACGTTATTACAAATATTCACATGGTTCATACAGCTCAAAATTACATTGAAGCTGAGAATTCTGTGAGTATTTTTTAATCTCAAATGAGAGTTAGTGTCAAGAAAAACATGATAGCTTGAGGTCATGCACTGCATAATCATTCATAATCCATGATGTCTTGCAGCAACAAACCAACCTTATCCCTGGGTTAAGCCTGAGTGCACTGGGCATCTTTTCAACTGGTTTGTCAGTATTGCCACCAGCTGCTGGGCCCAGAGGCGTCCCAACCGTACCCCCAGCTAGCTACAACCCTTTTCTTGTGAGTACAAACCACAGTATGGACTTCATTATGGAACTACAACATATCTGGATATATCAATCTCAGGAATGCATTACATTTAGCAGATCAAAATACAGATTTTAACAATTAGATGACAAATGACAAAGAAGAATTTACCAGTTGTAATTCAAACTCAATTTGTAAATCAATCAATTTGAGATATACTGTATATATTATATGTGTGTGTGTGTGTGTGAATTGTAATCTATGAATTATTTATAATGTAATCTATAGATTAAGATTAAATTCGGAAAATAAATTAAGTTGCCTAATAGAACATAATGTTGTTATATATAATTATATAAAAATGTTATACATAATTATAAATTCAACAAATTTCTGTAAGTTGCATTTTAAACATATTATTAATACCATGAATTTCTGGAAATCCCCCATGTGATGTGTATAAAAAACATTCTTAATATTTAAACATAAATATTTTTTTAATTTTTAAAATGTAATTAATGAATTGTATATATATATTATATTATAGTAGCATTTTAAACTATTATTATTAATACCATGAATTTGTGGAAATACCCAATATGTTGTGTTTGATAACATTTTCTATGCATAATCATACAGAAAATTGATGTTTTTTTTTAAACTATCCAAGGAATTTCTTTAAATTTCACTCTATTTACATCCTTAAATTCAAATTTGATGTACTACATGCTGTTCTGTTCGCTACCTCAGTTTGATTTCATAGATTAAATGGAAATTTAATCTGAATTCTCAGTTTAAAGGGGTCATATGATGCGATTTTTAAATTTTTCCTTTCTCTTTGGAGTGTTACAAGCTCTTGGTGCATAAAGAAGATCTGTAAAGTTGCAAAGACTAAAGTCTCAAATCCAAAGAGATATTCTTTATAAAAGTTAACGCCTACCTAAAACGGCTCGTTCTAACACGCCCCCACATATCTACGTCACGATGTGGGAAGATTACATGACGCCGCCCATAATGTTCACGCAAAGAAAGAAGGCGTAACTTTTATTCTCGCTGTAGTATTGTTGCTGCCACCGCCATGTCGTGAAGGCACTGTGTTATTCGTTGTGAAAGCGAAACTACTTTTTTTGGCCTTCCAAAAGAGGACGATATCGCTTCATCATGCCTGGAGCTGATCTGTGCTGGTTTCTGAGGAAATACAACAACTTTGCGCTGTGGATCGGCTTTCACCGTGGACGAAGTGGAGTCCAGCCCGGGGTCGTCACATGTGGTTGCCGCAAGTCTGCCGGCCGCCCCGTTCTCAAGCACACCGTCCTCCGCACACTCTAGCCCTCCGGTTGTTCTTCACTCTAGCCCCCGGCCTCTGCTCACTCTAGGCTGCTGTTTGGTTTTTATCATCCTCAGTAGTACTGTAAAACTTGAGTAGTCATTTATTGTAAATAGTTTCAACAGGTTTTTATTGTTGCAGTTCTTTGCTTACGGTAAATCAAGTTCTCTTCATGACATTAGGGACTTTGGCATTTACTGTCAATAACATATTATACTTGCAAACTTTTGCAAAGACCTGCCAGCATGTTAATATCCTCACCAACCAGTTAGTAACCTGTTATGCTAGTAACTGGCCAGCTGGTTAGCCAGCTTTTCTATCAAACCTTGCATATGAACAGCATGGAAAGGCCCTTTTGAAAACGTATTTCTCTTTTGAACGGTCTCTCCTGTTGTGTGTCTGATACTGAAGCCTGATTTGTTCATGCTCATGTAACTGCACGAACCAATGACGCTTCAACCTGCCAAAACAGGAAGAGCTGATCGCTATATAAGTTGGCTCTGAGCGCCATTTCGTCAGAATTTTCCTCTGTCAATGACGAAGATCATCTCCTCGCTGACTCTACAAGCAAGAAGCTGAAGAGGGGAAAGAAAGGAGCTCAGCCTGCTGCTCGCCTCCATGAGAAGGAGCCCCCGACAGCGGAAGAAGCCAGAAGCCTTCCTCTGCGGCCATCCAGCGCATTTAAGAGCAAATTTCTGAACCAATTTTCAGCGACATTGTTTCAAATATCGCGCCGCGAGTGTGGCTCGTGCAGGGGTTCTCTGGACACAGTGAGTGCGTCGCCTGTTTGGGCAGCGCCCACGCAGAGGCTGCCCTCACTGGGACTGAATGCTCTCACTGCGAAAGCATGAGTCTCATCCCTCTTCGCTCATGGATTGCCTTTTTTAATGAAGGCGGTCCTCCCCGCTCTGCTCTCCTGTTTCCTCTCTCCCCTAGTAGGAAGAAACAGCGGAACATCTGGACTCAAACACCGGGCTCAAGTGAACTCACGCCGGCGCAGCTCTCACGTGTTTCACTCTCCTCCTAACGCCTCGATTCGCCTGTGTGCTTCACATGTGAGGATCAGCGCCCCTCGTCAGCCTCCTTGACGAGTGGTACCTAAAGGGACGCCGTCAACATTCCTCCCTCCAACGGCCTGCCCGTTCCTGCCAGCAGTTCAAGAGGAACTCACCAGGACGTGGCGCACACCCTACTTGCTGCGTGTTAATCCCTCTACTTCTATCGTTCTCACCACTGTTGACGGCGCTGAAGAATGAGGTTATAGCAAGCTCCCCCTTAGGAAGAGACAGTCGCTGCACATCTGTGCCCTCCATCAGCCCTGGGGTTGAAAGCCCATGCAGCGCACCCATCAAAACCCTGCAGGACTACCTCAGCCCTTGCAAACAGGGCTTATCTCAACGGGAGTCTTTGCAGCACCCTGCGAGTGTAATTAATACCATTTTAGAGGCTAGAGCTCCATCTACAAGACATCTTTTCACCCTTAAATGGTCAGTCTTCACTTACTGGTGTGTAGCACGGAACCAGTACATGTCGCACGATGACTGGTGCTAGTTCTAACATTTCCACAAGAGCTGCTGGATAAGGGGCACACCCCTTCCACTCTCAAAGTATACTGAGACATGGCTATGTGCTAAAAGTGCTCTCCACTCCGTTCAGAGCACAAGTCATCACCCTCCTAGAGCTCCCCAATTCAGAAGGTGAGCAGGGTCCTAATCCATTCTACCCGGTTTGGGCTCTTAGAGTGTATGTTGAGTGCTCTGGCCCGTTTAGACACTCAGAGCAGCTCTTTGTATGCTTCGGAGGCTGCTCTGAAGGTCTGGCGGTTTTGAAGCAGAGACCATATTGCTGGATAGTCGATGCTATAGCCCTAGCTTATGCCTCAGTGGGCTTGCAGTGTCCTATAGGTGTGAGGGCCCACTCCACCAGAGGAAAGGCCTCCCCCTGGGTGTGGTCCAACGGGATTTCTATTGGTGATACTTGTGCGGCTGCCTGTTAGTCGTCTACCTTCACTAAATTGTATAACTTGTATGTCTCTGCCTTGCAGGCACGGATCTTGTCCACGTAATTCTACCCAATCCCCTTTGTAAGTGGAGAGGGTTATGTTATGTAGACCTTAGCCTAAATGGCTTGGGTCTCAGTACTGGCTCATGCTTTCAGGAGCCCTCAGTATCGGTGCTGCGGGGCTGGCCTCGCAGAGCGGCTTCATTCTGCACTTGCTTATAGCACAGCGCTATTGGATGCGCTCCCCGTGAGCGTCGGCGACGCAACGGAGAGACCGATAATTAGATAAATTATCTAATAAATGTAAAATAATCAAAAAGAATAAAACATTTTTATTAAATGTGGCAGTGTCTTTTTTTAAAGATAATTTTAAAGCAGGGCTGATGATCTATTAAAAAATGAACTAAATAATCATTTCTAAATAATCATTTCATAATCAGGTTTCTGTAATTAATCACGATTAATTGCATCTAACATGAACATATGTAATCATATTATTTTTTACATTGAATTTCCAAATTATTGTGGAAACAACCTAAGACAATATTCAATAATAGTGAAATGTTCTTGAGATGTAAAATGTTTGTAAATTGAGCCATCTCATTTGTTCCAGGGTCATTCATCCCAGCTGGGTGGGCTGTACAGTGTCCCGCCTGCTAGTGCCATCTCTCACCAGCACACAGTGAGTACTCTTACTGAAACTGTCCAATAAAATGGATTGTTCTGGTTGTGGATGATGATTGGTGGATACAGTGTTCCAGCGAACCAGTTTTATGTGATGTCATATTTTATATCATATATTGATAGCTAGAGTGTGTGATGGCCAATATAATGCTAATATATATTGTATTGTATTTGCAGCACAATTTAATTATGGCAAATATGATGTTAAAAAAACATATTTTATACAATATTTACTCAAAATTCACCCCAAAATACTTATAAACAGAACATGTTTCCAGTTTGTTGGTAGATTCTGTAAGTGACACAAAATGGAGTGACTCCCTTTGTTAATGTTAAAGGGATAGTTCACCCAAAAATGAAAATTCTGTCATCATTTACTCACCCTCATGTCGTTCCAAACCTGTATGAGTTGCTTTCTTATGTTGAACATAAAAGATGATATTTTGCTGGTAATGAAACAGTTGGTGGTTGCCATTGTCTTCCATAGTAGGAAAAACAAATACTATGAAAGTCAATGGCAACCACCAACTGTTTGATTACCAGCAATCTTCAAAATATGTTCTTTTGTGTTCAACATAAGAAAGCAACTCATACAGGTTTGGAACGACATGAGGGTGAGTAAATGATGACAGAATTTTCATTTTTGGTTGAACTATCCCTTTAATGTCATTTTAATAAATAACTTGGTAGTTATTCACCAAATAAAAACCTCCGTCTCTGTCAGGCAGTGCTGAACACCACATGCTAATGGTGTTGACTTGCTGTAAACTCCTGAATGAAAAAGCTCTCTGGCATCTTCAATCTTTCACTGTTGCCCATGCAGAGAGTCTGAACAATGAGTCACTGGTTTCCTATGGTTCACACTTCAGTGCCAGGCAGGTCAGGTCCTTTAGAAACCGATAAGAGGTTTGCATCCTCATCATCAGTTTGAGTGTTGAATGGATTGTTTTTGCCTCCGTACAAACCTGTGTGAACCTTCAGGGCTTGACCTCTAGCCTGTGCTGAAGTGAGCAGTATCTTAAGTGGGATTGTGGGTGGTTTGGGAAAACTAAAGGTTGAATCTACCTGACATGCTCAGATGGATTTTAGAAGACCTTTTTGAGGAATCCCTGATTTGCAGAATCACATTGAATTAGAGGCCGTAATATTTTGCATGTTTTTTTCTGCTCTCTCCACAGCAGGCTCCTGAACAGGAGGTGGTCTACCTTTTTATTCCAACTCAGGCTGTTGGTGCTATTATTGGCAAGAAGGGCCAACATATTAAACAACTGGCACGATTCGCAGGAGCCTCTATTAAGGTAGGAGTTTCTGCCTACTGGAATGCCACTGCTGTCATGTTAAATCTGTAAAATAAAAAGGTTCCTTTTGTGTTTTTGTTACGTGAAGCACAATAATCCATCTAATTCTCTGTGTCCTATTGCTAAGATCCTTGATTTGAATCTAACCATATCATGCTCAGATTTGGCCTAGTGCCTCAGTGTGGGTGAGCCAATCATCCGTAACCTCCTCTCTGTTGATTCGGCCAGTCCTGTGGGTTGCTGGGTAATCAGAAGGGGTGAGACAGTTCACCACCCATAGTTCAGAATGTGTACCTTTTATTCCAACTCAGGCTGTTGGTGCTATTATTGGCAAGAAGGGCCAACATATTAAACAACTGGCACGATTCGCAGGAGCCTCTATTAAGGTAGGAGTTTCTGCCTACTGGAATGCCACTGCTGTCATGTTAAATCTGTAAAATAAAAAGGTTCCTTTTGTGTTTTTGTTACGTGAAGCACAATAATCCATCTAATTCTCTGTGTCCTATTGCTAAGATCCTTGATTTGAATCTAACCATATCATGCTCAGATTTGGCCTAGTGCCTCAGTGTGGGTGAGCCAATCATCCGTAACCTCCTCTCTGTTGATTCGGCCAGTCCTGTGGGTTGCTGGGTAATCAGAAGGGGTGAGACAGTTCACCACCCATAGTTCAGAATGTGTTTGTACTTCAGTTAATTTAATGTCTAATGGCATCTTTAAAAATATGAATATTACACTACCATTCAAAAGGGGCAAGATTTTTTAAGGAAGTCTGTTATGCTCACCAAGAATGCATTCATTTTAGAGCCCGACCGGTATGGGTTTTTTGGGGGCTGATACCGATATTAGAGCGTAAAAAAGACAGATATCGATATATCGGCCGATATTCTTTGTGTAGGCTATATTATAGTACAGTATAGTCAAAAGTTTGGACACACTTCCCATTCGTGTGTCCAAACTTTTGACTGGTACTGTATATAGAATACAGTATATAACCTACATAAACAGAATATATATATACATAAACACATCTTTTGCAGTGATAACTCAAATGTGGTGATCAAACACTTATAATGATGTGACAAACATTGGCCTATGTAGTGGAGGCAGGTTATTTAACAATAAACTTTATTATTAAAAATGAGTCTGACATCAGTGCACATAACAGTAAACTTCACTTATTATAAATAACTTAAACACAAATAGAACAAAATATATATAACTTGAATTAAGAAATTAAACAAGGTAACTGTGTAGGGCAAGCAAGCTACTGCCAAACCAACAGGGGCAGGTTTATTTAGGAAGCACAGCTTTTCCAAATGGAAACATCTAAAATTGATAAATAATAATAATGAATAATATTTTTTCACAAATTCTGTGTTGTGTATTTTCTGGTAATCAAATGATCATGCAGAACATGAGGATTTGTATTTAAATAAGTCTTTTTGCAGTTTAATATTCACAGACAGTCTACAAATATGTACTGACCTGTTTTTTTATTTATTCATCAAAAATAAGACACATTCCATTACATTTTTTATGACTGGATTCCGCGATTCAATCCATGTTTTCTGCATCGCGGAAATCATAGGGCCCTACTAATGTAGCAAACGAATATGATAAGCTCATTGTGAGAGTAAAAGATGGGGACATTGTTGTTTATTAACTTAGCATCGAGTCTCTCCAACTAGGTGACTATGTAGCGTTAAATTACCATTCAACAGACTCAAGCCACTACCGCACTGCCGTCTGTCGGACTGCAGAAAGATACTAACTTTTCAATCTGCTACGTTACTTACTGTACTGACAAACTATGCTGACACCGTGTCTGCGCCGCAAAAGGATGCCACAAAGCGACCATTGAAAATCATTTGAACTTTGTGTCAGCACGTCATAAATAGAACGAGGCATCAGTTTACTGCATCCAGTGTAGACAACATCACTGATTATAATGGGTTCTATTCTACACCGGACGCGAGCGGCGTGCCGTGACAAAATACAATAGAAATCTATTGTATTTTGTCGCATCGCGTGATGTGATGTGACCGATGTGATAAGCATGAGTTCTGGGCCGCAGCGCGGCCGGTATAAACACCAGCATTGACTGAGTGGCCGCGTTCAGCTCTGGTGGCCGTAACACAGGCTTTAATGTGCCGCAGACGCGTGCCGTGATGCGCAGATCAGCTCTAGTCTCTAACGTCACTGAATCTGCTGTTAAAAAATAACCATCCATGCATCATATCATCATGCAAAACTAAGAATTAGAATCATTGTAATGTGACGATCAAATATAGGTGCGGGTGGCAGGCGGATAATTTGAAGCAGCGGACTCAGGTGAAGTTTGAGCTCATCTCTACACTGACCTGGGTCGCCAGCAGCAAACAATGGAGCACGCTCTGCTGGGAAAGGCGGCAAACTAAGTAATTACACCATTCAGAAGCATTTAATCTGCATTATATGTTCTGTAAAAAATAATTTTCATATCTGAGGCATATTCGCCGATACCGATATATCTGCGACAGACTCGTATCAACCGATAATATCGGCAAAACGATATATTGGTCGGCCTCTATTTGATCAAAAATACAGTAAAAACTGTAATATTGTGAAATATTATTACAATTTAAAATAAATGCTTTCTATTTTAAATGGATAAAATTGTATTTTCAGTTAATTTTCAGCAGAAATTACTCCAGTCCAGCCATTACATTTTTTTATGATTCTCTGATGAGTAGAAAGTTCACAAGAACAGCATTTATTTCACAGAAATCTTTTGTAACATTTTAAATGTCTTTGTTACTTTTGATCAATTTAATGCATCTGAATAATCTGAATTTCTTTACAAATAAATTAACCCAAACTTAGTGTAAATGTTTTTCACATTTGACAATTTTCAGGTGTCTTTTTCAAGCAATTAAAGTAATTCTTAATATCGCTGAAGTAATGTAGACTTAGAGAGTGACATATTGATGTTTGAAAGTGACAAAACTTTTTGTTTTCTATACATTTCAATAAATGCTGACATTTCACAAAATGTGAATTGTATGTAATTTTACAGTGTGGTGTATTTTAATGCAGCATATGGTTTAATGACATCTGGTATTTTATTGAATTGCTGATTTAACTGAATTCATGGCCACAAAATCTAAATACAAAAGAAACATTGAGAATTTAAACGGTTAAACCCCTATTGATCAGAGGCTGCCTTTGGAAGTAATTGGAAACAGAGACCTCTGGTGGCTGTGTGATGAGACTTCAAGAGAATGAGCTCTATGAATGGTTCACACTTCAGATGTAGCTCTAGAAATAAAATGTTCTTTAAAGCAAATTTGTTTCTGTCAACAGCATTTGTGGCATGTTGTTGATTATGTCAGAAAATAATGTTGATTCATGGTATGTAAATAGTGTGATCTTGATATGTAAAAACAACATGCATGTACATAAATGTGGTGCTCTTTATGTTCAGATCGCACCTGCAGAGAGTCCTGACGTCATTCAGAGGATGGTCATCATCACTGGCCCACCAGAAGCTCAGTTTAAGGTAAAGGAATAAAATACAAATTTAAAATGCCAGTATTAATTAGTATATGACAATTGAAAAAATATTTGAATTGAATCTTTATGGCCTTTAGTTCTGTTGTACCCTATAATGCCCCTGAAAAATGGACATTGACTTTGGTTCTGAGTTTCAGGCCCAGGGCAGGATATTTGGGAAACTGAAAGAAGAGAATTTCTTTTCTGCAAAAGAGGAAGTGAAGCTGGAGACACATATAAAAGTGCCCTCTTCAGCAGCTGGGAGGGTCATCGGGAAAGGCGGCAAAACAGTGAGTTTTGTAATAAAAGACTTTCCATTCAAAGGTTATTCACTTTCTAATGCCAGACATACTATAGGATTCTGATTCACAATAAACTATCTGTGTTTACACATTTTCAAAGAACAAGATGTTGTGTAGCACATCCAATCACAGCTGTTTTCTCATCTCAGAGTCAATATTCCTTTCATTGTTCAATTGTCAAGTCAAAAATGGGTTTGCAAAAGTTAACCGTTATTCTCAGAATCCATAAAACATTTAAAATAGCTTCCCAAAAAACAATGAAATGTTCATTGTTAAAGAATGGGAACATTGTTGATTAATCAAAGTTAATGTGGTGTGAAGAGTTCCTGAGAGAGCTAATACATGCCACCAGAGCAAATTATGGAAATGTTGTTATTGTCTTTGATAATCGTTTTGTATGTACCAGACAATTTTTTCTGTGTAATTGTCAGCAAATTCACTAAAAGCACTGAAATGCGGGATAAAGTTTTTTTGTATTATTATTATTATGGCAAAAGTTTGGTTATTATGTTATATAACTTACTTTTTAGTCTAAGGCTTTGAAGAGGACAGGTTTGATTCAAATCAATGTGACCTGTTTCAGTCAGGATTATTATATGTTTCATGAGCTGTACGTTTCGCTTTTAGGAAATATTTGACTCTATTCACAGTGACTCATTTGTAGAGTAGACAGGGGTTGCAGTTGTTGCCCAAGGGCATCATAGCAGCTTGGTCTTGACGTAGGTCATGTACAAATGAGCAACTGGATATGTGCTGCTTGTTCTTGTAGGAGTCTGATTGACACACAGCGTTTGCACATTTTGACACAATTGACATTATTATTAGGTGTAATGTTAGGTAGTTTCGTCATCAGCCTGTTTCTCTAAACCCGTTTCAGGTTAATGAGCTGCAGAACCTAACCAGTGCAGAGGTCATAGTGCCACGGGACCAAACCCCAGATGAGAATGATGAGGTCTTTGTCAAAATTAGTGGGCATTTCTTTGCCAGCCAGGTGAATTATACACCACACATCACAACAAATGTGAAAAGTGTAACTTTCTGCTGTTTTGGGCTAAAATTTCCAGCTCCAGTAACTACTACAGAGATCGATCCTAATCATGCGACTTTGTATCCTAACCAGCAGCAATTTTTTTTCTTTTGTTTCCATGCTAATATGATGTTTTGTCCTAACCAACCACGACCGTCAACAGCACTGCATGAGGAAATATGTATTCAGCCGTTTGGTCTTTATTTCTGTTCATTCTATTCAGCTAGGCGGCCCTGGCTACAGTCAGATCTCATTGGTCCAACATAATGCTTGCAATTGTGTTTTAAACATAAAAAATGTTCTGACTGGCTATTTTTTCACACATGTAATTTCAACATTGATAACTATATATATGATGTTTAAGGCCAATGTAACATTTATTTCACCATTAAATGTGATATCTTGGCAACTAGTGTATAACGTTTATACAATAGTTTTCACTAGGTTTGTGGTCATTTAAATAAATTAATACTTTTATTTAGTGAGAACATTACATTTTTTTTAAAGTGACAGTAAATATATATGTTAAAAAACTTTCTATTTCAAGTAAATGCTGTTATATTTCCTGAAAAAAATATATATTTTCCACAAATATATTTAGTACAATGACTATTTTCATCATTGATAATATAAGAAATATTATTTGAGCAGCAAATCAGCATTTTAGAATGATTTCTGAAGGATTTTGTGACACTGAAGACTGAAGTAATAGCTGCTTAAAATTCTGCTTTGCATCACATGAATGAATTAAATTTTAAAATATGTTCAAATAGAAAACTATTAGTTTAAAGTGCCCCTATTATGGGTAATGAAAAGTTAATATTTTGAATTTGGGAGTCCCCAACAACAGGTTGACATGCATGCAAGGTCAAAAAACACTTTCATTGTCTTATAATATGCATTTATTTTTTACCTTACTTGCTCAACAACTCCCAAACGATTCGCTCAATGATTCATTTTCCAAACCTCTCCTTTGCATGACGCTAATCTGGGATGATTGGTCTGATTCCTCTCATTTTCGTTTCATCATGCCTGTAATGCCTGATAAAGCAGCATTTGTGAGCGCAGTGCTGTTTTGTGTACAGCCGTTACCGGGAAAACCGGTATTTTTACCGCTCCTAAAGCGGCACCTAGTGGCAAAGAATGAATTTGCATTTTCATTCAGACAAACTGAAAAGACCAACAATTGGGCGGGCAATATGCTAATGTTTCGTGTTGACCTCAACATGAAACGGCTTGGGATTCGTTTTTAAAAAGGACTCGTTTCAATGATTCAGAGTCGACTCTTTCTTTTGAGAGACAATAACTTTATAACACGGTGCACTTTCAGATTAAAAACATTGCAGGATGTTTTCATTCACTTTGAGCTGTGTGCATGAAAGGTAATTTTCAAAAATCCATAATAGGGGCACTTTAAATTGTAATAATGTTTCACTATATTACTGTTGTAACTATTTTGGTTAAATAATTGTAGCCTTGGTGAGCATAAGAGTCTTCTTTTCAAAATAATTGTACCAAGCCATCTCGAATGTTCTGCTTCTTGACCATGTAAAGGCTAAATGCAGTAAATAAAATCACCTCTTATTGGTCAATGACACATGGTAGTGACGAAACATGAAATCTTATAATGGCTTATAGCATTACCTTCATTCAGCCACCTCTCTCTTATTGAAAAGAAACTCAAAGTGAACATTTACCACTATAAACATACTCTCCTCTGGTCCCACAGACTGCACAGAGGAAAATCAGGGAGATCATCCAGCAGGTGAAACAACAGGAGCAGAAGCACCAGCAAGGCGCCCCCGTGACACACCGATCCAAGTGACCATCAGGGCAGCCCCAGCGGGCACCTGCCAATGAATGTAGCCCTCCCAACTGGAATCAGACCAGACCGGACGAAGGGGACCGGCCGGGCAGACCAGCAGCCATGGGATCAAAACCAAAGAACTTCTTTCTGGGGGAGATGAAGGAGCCACAGACAGAAGGGCTCTGAGTGCACTGCCAGCTTGGGGAGGGAGGGGGGAAGGAAGCGCAAGAAGGACAAGCGTACCTTTTATTGTTCAAACACACCCTGAGTATGACCAGAATAGGTATGCGGCATCTGTTATCAGGACGGGAAACATCATCATAGTCGCCCCACGTAACAATTTCTTTATAAACTTCTTATTTTAGGCTTAATCTAGGGCTAACACAGATAAGAAGCTCTATTAGCACATGTACACTCATGCATTTTGACTGAGTTGTGTTGCTGTTTTCTCGGGTAAGTAAAGTGGGTGTGCACTGGCAGTTGGCAACCGAGATTTTTTTATAATTTTTTTTTTTTTTTTGATGCCCAGATTGCGATTTCAACGATCAGCAGTATTCTCACCAGTACACTAGAACAAATATACTGTTATATCTGAAGCAGAAGCACGATTCTTCTTGTTTTGCACGAGCCATCGGGCATGTAGTGCACATATGCGGTTGCGATTGCATATAACATGTTTTTCAGATTTCTTTGATGATGGGACAAGCAAGTTGGGAAATGTAAATGACAGAACGTTTACTCATATCTTAGCCTGTTTGCATTTCGGGACACATCATCCAGCTCAACGGATTCCTTGTTACTTAGCCTGTGCGTGCCAACGGATGCCGTTAAAACATTTCTTTCTGTGCATATCTCATTTTTTAGCTTTTATCATTTGTAGTTTGTTGTTATTTCTGTCCAGCTCTTACACTCCCTTTTTATTTTTACACCAGTGTTTTTGCAGCTTCTGCATTTAGTCATTTCAGTGCCACCGCATTCTTGTGGCGGCAGTCATTACGAGACTGAGTAGGTATGTGGTAGATGTGGATTAGGAGTCGACACCCCTTGTTTGCTTTAGGGGGTATGAAAAGAATATAAAGCAAGCACCAGCGTCTGAAAGACAGCACACCTTTACTGGCTTGGGCAGAAGCGAAATCAAATGTGCACCAAGAATTCTGCCTTAATCTATGCTGAAAGGAAACAAAAAAGATGGGCGACTGAAAATGTTATTGGAGGGTCAGGTTGATGTGGGACGAGGAGGCACCTTATGATCTGTGGTACACACACAGCCGCGTTTGGCTTTAAATCTCTTTGTCAGGGAGCTTTCTAAATGGCATGACAGCTGTGAATGTACAATAAGCAGCCTTTTAGAAAGAGCACCACCCTGTCATGTTCAGTAAGCTGGTTGGTCGGCGAGATTGTTCTTTTTTTTTTTTTTTAACAGATACTCTGGTTGTTTTGGGAAATGGATCGACTGTTCCAACAGGACGTGCAGGCATGGATATCCCTTTGTGCTTTATTTTCTTCTTCTTTTTGACCATGGAAGTTTGTTGCCTTAAACGTCACCAGTCTATATCATCACAGACGGCTCCCTCGCCCAATGAGAGCTAAGCCTCATCTTCCAGATGCAAGGTTTATGCCAATACGCACAGCTTCCATTAGTGTATATGCGTGTGTGTATATAGATATAGATATATATATATATATATATAAAGAGAGAGAAATATTTATGAATCTATTTTTTTTCCTATTTTGTGACGAGAGCTATTAATAAGAAACAAACCGAAAACAACAAGTCTTTTTTGGTGGAACACTGCCATGTTATTCTGAAGGGAAGTGTTTATTTTCTTGGAAGTAGACTATGAATATTGGTAGTATACTAACAGTAAGAACAGTAATGAATCACCGCAACACTGATCAGAATGTGATCTGTGCGCATGTCAGTATTCCGATCTACCTCATGCGTCAGGGTACCTCAGTCCAATCTTAAATTTCCCTTTTTTTTCTCCCCACATTTTGTATGCCTTGTAAACTGAAAGTTTTGAACGTTTTCTTTTTATTAATAATAAAAGAGATCAAGAAAAGTCTTCAGGTCCATCTGGCAAAAACAAATGGATCTTAAAGCTTTCAAAACTGAATGCGAATTCAGAGACAATGAATATCAAGTAGAATGGCTTAATTCAAAGCATTCTCCAGGAGCAACCACGTGGTCCGAAGCGTAAGCCAGCTGTCTCTTTACATTTTATAAACATGAGTCCAAATTCAGGAGTTACAGTCAGACCAAATTTTTTAATTAAGGCTTTTTTTTTAATCAAGGTCTTTCACAAAACAGAACCAGGTTGATATGAAAAAAATAAAATAAGTAAATAAAAAATTTTTCTTGATGTAATCCACAGAGTAACTGTTTTTAAAAGTGTTTATTATAATCCCACAAAAATGCAGGTATTTTTGTTGCCTCAGATCTGCTCTGACTGCAGTGGATCTGTTGCCGGTTGCAGTCTTTGTGTGTTACCGCTAAAACAACAAACCCAGATAGCACACGTACGTCTGCAAGATGTCTGTTAAAGATCTTTTGATCTGGAAAGCATCTACTGTGTACAAACATCTGACAGACGTCTCTAAGATGTCAGTTTAGCATACATTCTAAATCATAAACATCTTAGACATCTAATGTCTATTTGACATCTAAAATGAAACGTCCCATATACATACTGCAGATGAGCAAACACTCTAAAAAATACGTCTTTCAGATGTAAATGCAGACTTCAAATAGACGTCTCCGTGATGTACGTGTGCTATCAGGGAGGCCTATGTCAAATCAAGATGGAAGACAGTAGAAGGTCACTATGTTAGGTCCAGGTGCGTGTACTTGCAATGGCTGGTTTGCTTTCATACAGTAATTCACATGATTTGTCTGTGGACTGAACTGCAAGCTGTCCCACTCCAGTTTTAGTTCTAACTTTTAATCGTATTTGATAGAGGCGTGTTACTGTAGACCTGTGTAAATAGTTTTTTACCTACTGAAGCAACCCGTCCACACTTATCCGCAAAGTGTAGCAAAGATATCAGGTGCCGAAAGTGTTTCTGTTAGTAAAGGTTAGAGGCTTTCTGCTAGATCAGGTTCGCTTTGGATTTCTAACAAATTTTTCACTCAAGAAGCCGAACACGGTTCTTTTGGTTCTTGACTCTGTGAAGGCTTGTAGCTAGACGAGGCTGTTTTTCCCCCTGAATGATGCTTATTCTCAGGTGTTTGCTCATTGATGGAGTTTAGGTTGTGTAGCAGTTTGATAACTCGGATCACTTTTAACTGTTATTGTAACTGTAACACGCACCACGCTGTCGATAGACACCTATCTAATGTTCTAGTGGTTCTTAACTTTTTTGAAGAGTTTGTATTTCGAAACTTTGTCAGGTGTGCATCAGTCTTGCATCGGTATTTAACTTTACGGAAGCATTAGTCGATACGTGCATTAACTATCATCACACTGTCATATTGTCTCTGTAGTCTGGTAATTAAGCTATACATTATGATATCCTGTAATGTAACGCTAGGAAGAGTTGAGGTCTTTGCATTAACTTTAGGCCAAAAAGTCATAGCTAATATAAGTCGGACGAATCAGGTCAGTTTAGGATAGCTGTTGTTTGTAGTGTTGGCATGACATCTCATCGTGGTTTACTTTGGGCCCTAAAGCTTTTAGGGGGAATGGAGACAAAGTAGGTGCTGTTCTATGTTTATTTTTTGATATTAGAATAGACCACAGGCACACAGCTATAGTTGCTCACAGTATGACGGCACCGTTCTAGTCGTGTTTAACTCGGGAGAGCAGGAAATCAGAGCGATGCATGAGAAATCAATGCAAATCATAGGCTGTGAAAATTTCTTTGCGCCTTTACAACGGCAGATCCATTCCTACGCAGCTCTAGCTTCTCACTTTAGTTCCTTTCGAGCGATGTGAAACAGACTGGGCTCGCTGCACTGCCTGCCGTGTCCCCTCAGCTGGATTGTGAGGGGAGGTATTGGGGGACTGAGAGCTGAACCTTTTTTTTTTTTTGCTAACAACCATGTTGTTTTGAAATGTAGGTGAACTGTACTGCTGATCAACATGGATTTGAGCAATAAAAATTCTTTATAAAATTCTTGTCTAAAGCTCATCTTGTTGGACAGGGGCGTCCAATCCTTCTCCTTTAGGACCACTGTCTGGTGGAGTTTAGCTTTAGTACTAATATAACACACTTAAACCAACTTATCAAGGTCTTCCGTAATATTAGGATGTATCCGTGATACCTCCCGCACCCTCATTCACTATATATGAGTGAGTGAATGAAAATGAGCGAATTTGAACATTGAGTGCACTGAGGTGCTGTGGGCGTATGTTCTGGTGAGACATGAAAATTCATTCAGCATGGCGCTTAATGTGTAAAGGTATTCTTTAGCAGCTAGCTGTTGTGTGTACATCAGTTGTACACTCGTGGAGGTGCATTATGGGATTGAATAAGTGCACTCAATGTCCACTATGGTTTCAGACGGAATAGTGCATTATATAGAGCTGCATGATTAATTAAAACCTAAATCGCAATAATTTTGATATCACCATAAATATTAGTGTTGTAATTTTACTGTTATAATCTAAATTCAAATTATTTTATTATTTTTCTTAAAAACAGTTTTACAGTGAAATATTACAATAGTATTTTTATTTCGTTGTAATGATTATTACTACAGTTGTTTTATTTTGTATCCATATTAATATCAAAATTGTGCAGCCCTACAAACAAGCACATTTTTTTAATCAAAATTATCAGAAAAATCTTAACACTGTGCAGCCCTAGCACTATACAAGGATAAATGCAGGACATTGCCCTGGTCAGACAAATGCACTAATCATAATGTGATGGCATTTTTTTCTTTAATTATAAAACGGCATTCATAACATTCATCAACTGCGTATGAATACTAGCTTGAAATGAACACAGCATGCAGATATGATGAAATGTTCTGACAGAAGCTAATGGAATGAGTTTATTATCAGATGATTGATCACATCGTAAACAGCTTTACTCACGCGATGTGGGTGTTCGGTGAATAAAAATACTACATTCTGCTCCCAGCATTGCTAATGCCACTGACATATAAACAATTAAAAGAATTTGCTTTAATTCACCATTTTAACACAAGTTGGATGGGCTTTCAGTGATCAGCCAGGACTTCACATACGGCCTTCTTCCCCATAAAGAAACAAAACCCATAGTGAATAATGTGTAATAGTGTAAATACAGCTTGATGTTTTAATATTTACAAGTACTCCAAGAAAGTAAAATAGTAAACATTTCACTTCAGTGAGGTAGGTCACATTTAAGGCTGATGTGAAACTTTAAAGACAGTAACCCACAACCAAAATCCATGATATTACAGTCTGTAAATACAGAAGAATAGTATCAAATACCTCAAATGTCTATTTTGCTGCAAAAGTTCACACCTTTTAAACCACAAAAGCCTGTTATGGACAGCTGATGTGCACTGGAATAAATGTACAGTATGTATAGTAAGTGAAAACCGACAGATGAACAGTTTCATATTTCTGTGATTTGTACATAAAGGCAGGATTCAGAATTCAAGACCACCAATATTATATATATAAATACAGAACTTCCCAAAAAGGCAGCAAAAAGTCCCTTTTCCTCACTACATTTCAATCCATGCCAGTAACGGCATAGCAGCCTTCCAAGTAAAGAATATGTAAAACTTTCATTTCCATTTTTAAAAATGTGAGGCCACAAAAAAGATTTTAGAGCTCTTAAAAGCCACTTTAAATACAAATAGTAGCCACCCACAAAGCAGCCAAGGGGGATCGAATCACTGACCCCACACTGTCCCTTATCGGTTTTTCTTGTCTTGACTGAGTCCATTTGTGTCATGGCCATCCAGGTGGAGATGCCGAGTACTGTATGTACGGATCAGAGCTCCAGGCAGCAGAGCAACACAGGCAATAAGCAGTAGTTTCAACACCACACTCCAGGAGAACAAGTCGTCCAGAGAGGAGATTTGAGACAGCATTGATCCCGTCTGGACGCAGATGAAGTTGTATGGCATCAGGCCTGAAAGAGAAAACAGATGTTTCAAATAAATGCTACAAATATTAAGAGAAATGTTCTGAAAAATCCTCTGCTGTCATTTAACTGTGCTTACCAATGAAGACAGCCATGAAGAAAAGAGTGACTGGAATATTCAGTATTGGGGAGGTCATATTTAAGAACCAGTTTGGACTCATGGGAAAGAATCTCAGGAACAGCAGAAAAAAGAACAAGCTACTTCTGTTTTCCTCAACCTGGAAACGAGTAAACATCAAGTGATGATTCTTTCTATATTGTACTTTCAGACATCTTAGAAGACAAGATAACTTGATGTACCTTCTTTTGCAGCATGGCCACCTTGTCAGGGAAGAGTCTCACAATGTGCTGCTTGCCAAATGCCTGGGACAGGAGGAAACGGAGAGTGGCACCCACTGTGGTGAGGACACAGGCGAGGAGAAGACCATACCATGTCCCGAACAAAGCCCCAGCCAAGATGTTCTGGGGAAAAAAAAGTCATAAGAGCAAAGTATATACAGGTGCATGTTGTACATAACTCTCCTGCTAATATGGGCACACCATTTGTCAAATTGACCCCCGTTGGTTTCAGTGTAATTCGCCAACACTACGAAAAACATAAGATCTCTAGTGCAGCATGTCAGAAACTAAAATATGAGAAATTATGAACAGTTTTCCTCCCTTTGTGTTGGGTCAATTTGACCCACGTTTTTGTTCAAATTTACCTGCATTGACAAAATAAACTTTAGTATTAAACCGTTTTGTAGTGACTGCACACTGAGGTGCAAATGACTACAACCAAGTATAAATAGTATTTAACATGATTTGTGCTACAGTATTACTACAGTATTTGTACTTGGTGGATATTGTATTGGTGAACAGCCTCTGCTTTTTTTTATGTCTGCTTCTCAAACCTTTGTAAAGGTAAACTGGGTTTCTTACACTTATTTTCAGTTCTGCAACAGACTAGTAACAACCAAAAACAAATAGAGTTTCACAGTAAAAAAAAACGAATGCTACTAACGTGCTAATTAAAAATGTACTACTTTAATTTAATCCAAAATGTGTACATTTAATTTTAAAGGGCTTTTGAAAACCTAGAGCTATTAAGCCAAGAATAACAACTAAGTTAGCTAAAAAAAAAATTAAAAAGCCCAGAACTTCTGACTGATATGACACAATGTTAACCATTTGTACATTCTCTAACACACATATTTTAGATTCACAATTCATTTAAAAGCCTCTGGTGTGTAAAAATAGTAAATATCATCATGTCCTCCTGTTTTTTTTTTTTTTTTACCTAATAAAAGTTATAGGAGCATTAAATAGTTAATAAAGAAACTTCATTCATATGCTCATTATATTAGCATTAGCAGCGCTTATGCTAACGATTAACTACTCTAATAACAGCATTCATTTCAATCCGACATTCAAATTAAAATATTGAATAATATGCAGTGTTTCCCCCAGAACATGCACTCTATTTGTGGCCGCATATATATGCAAATTCATTCTCTGCCAGCAGGAGGCGCTTGTAGAGAGATCAGGTTTCCCCGGTACAGCTGTACACAAAGCAACGCTCAGCTCACAAACACTGCTCAGGCATTACAGGCAAGATGAAATGAAAATGACAACATGAAAGATGAAATGAAAATGACAACCAAAATTTTCTGAAGACAGTCGTTTCCTTCAGAAATACAGTGATATAAAAACACCCACACCGGTTTCGACTTTGACACGTGCAGTGCTCATGTTTATTCAACGAAGTCGAAGCCTTTTGGAAAATCTATTTGTGGCGGTGAGTTTTGATATTGTGGCTGGCAGCCACAAATAAATCAATGTATGGGAAACACAAATATTAAAAATTTAAATGAAACTTACCTGCTTGAATTGTGCAGAAATTCTTTGGTTATGCAAACCGATTGTTGCAGCAGCTGTCCGGGTGGCTGGTCTCAGACGATCTTGGAGGTGAAGATGCTGGATGTGGAGGTCCTGGGCTGGTGTGGTTACACGTGGTCTGCGGTTGTGAGGCCGGTTGGATGTACTGCCAAATTCTCTGAAACGCCTTTGGAGACGGCTTATGGTAGAGAAATGAACATTCAATTCACGGGCAACAGCTCTGGTGGACATTCCTGCAGTCAGCATGCCAATTGCACGCTCCCTCAAAACTTGCAATAAACGTTGTAGCAACAACAGATCTGATTTCACTGCCAAAGGACAAATGACAGCTGGAGACAAGAGAAAGAGCACCCCTTTTGAAAATGCTTTTCACACTTTGATACATCCTCAAAATGTTTCGTACAAGACTGAAAAGTCAGCTGTGAGAGCTGCAAACAGCAAAAGACAGATGGTCATTATCACACATGCAAGAGAAAAGCACACCTGGAGGCTGCAGTCTCCATTTCACTTGGGTTGTCTTCATCATTAGATTTTCTCGTCTCTCCGTGGTCTTGCTTAGGCAGCCGAGGTCCAGGAGGGATATAAGAGGACAGTAAATAAAGGTAAAAAGTAGCCGTCAATATTACAGCGATCAGACCAACAAGCGAACGCATAACGGAGTAACTAGAGGGCGCAGATACTGCATGTCCAATTCACTGCGGATCACTTCCGGGAGCGAAATTACGAATCCTACGTAAGAGACAGACAAGCTAATTAATATTAATTAGTCTATGCTGGCGTTCAGAGCCGCTGATTGGTAGGATTCTTGACGTGCCTGATCACGTGATCTATTTAATATTCATAAGCTAGACCTTAGCTTCGCCAGTTTACCAAACAGACAATTATCAATATTTGGCCAGAGAGTACAATAAAATAGAACCAGGGAAAGTTAAATATTATATTTAATTATTAACAGTATTCCATTCTCTAAAAGCCTTTAAACAAAAATACTACAGTATTGTTTAAAGTTATTTATTAAACGAAAATGTAAAATACCTCAGAAATATACAATTCCACTCAAAATTATATTTAGTGTCCTCTATATAAAATTTTTGTCAATCCAAAAACTGCAATGACATTTGTCCTTCACCAAATCGGAAAAAGACTACTGGGTGGACGTCGCAGATGTAATATTCATGAGCCAGTCGACCATAGTAGAATTAGTAAAAATGGAAGTCTCCTGCGGTGACCAGATGTTAATTGAATAACTTTAGCTTTATTTTGGCAAACCAATGTTTTATACTCCTAGTGAAAGTCAGTTGTCATGGAAGACACGTAGGACATGCGACGTCCTCACTTAAAGACACAAGCTCCAATATTAAGAGCGGCTGTGATTGCACTGATGCACTGAGTTTGCTGGTGTCCCGAAGTCCTGCAGTTCTTTCAACTCGCAACAACACCGTTCAGCTCAACAAAATGGCCCGATATGAACTTGTTAAAAGATCAGTTGCTCTGATCACTCTTACCAACCCACCAGTCAATGCCTCGAGGTCGGTGAAAACCTGCTAAATAATACTAAAACGAATTCATTTACTTAATGCATTATCCACCTGTTTGTAAAAAAAAAAAAAAAACTACAGTAATGCATACAATCTTGCATATATTTTTCTATTATTATAATGCTTAATGCACTACTTTGTATAAAACTTTTTATAAATGCTGTGATTTATACACATGATCTTGTCCACAAAGACAAAGTGTCATTGAAATGTCCATTTTTCAAATGCATTTTTTAAGTTAATGAACAAAAGTGATTTGATCATGTCCGTGCTCTTTCTCCTTAGTTCTGCTGTGCGTCATGCCATCGCAAAGAGCATGAAGTGTGCCCTGAGTGACCCAGAGGTCACGGCCGTGGTCATCTGTGGAGAGAATGGAAGCTTTTGTGGAGGTTAGACTATTAAAGATAAACATCCACCAAAAGCTTTTTTTAAGTCTGTCAATTAAATGCTTGCTCTGGCTGAGTTATGTAAAGGATGAAATACACTACACAACTTTTAAAATCGGAACATATTTTAAAACACTAGGCGACATACACTTGACGACATTGGTAAATGTTTACAGAGGAAAAACTGGGCATACTAAACAACTCAGGATCACACACTGCCAGACTTTAAAGTTGTTCCTACAAACATACGTCTCATTGTGTATTCAAGCCTTAAGGCCATCTAATATCTGATGATGCAGTGTTCTTCTGCAGGTGCAGACATTCGGGAGTTTGCTGGGCCTTTAAAAGGGCCTCCATTGGTACCCTTGTTAGATGCCATAGAGGCAGGAGAGAAGCCTGTGGTTGCTGCCATAGAGGGGGTTGCTCTAGGTGGGGGCTTTGAATTAGCCCTAGTCTGTCACTATCGTATTGCACACTCTAAGGCAGGGATCCTCAAATCTGGCCCACGAGATCCACTTTCCTGCAGAGTTTAGCTCTAACCCTAATCAAACACACCTGAGCATGCTAATCAATGTCTTCAGGATCATTAGAAAATCACAGGTAGCTGAGTTTGATCAGGGTTGGAGCTAAACTCTGCAGCGCATTGGACATCCAGGGTAAGATTTGAGGAACCCTGCTCTAAGGTAAATCATTTTATACTGCAGTTTATTCTTTTGAACATGTGTACTGAACTAGCTTCAATATTGTGCAATACGGTCTAGTGCTGATATGTCCCTAGTTAATCGGTTGAACTTTGATATTAATATGTAAAGTTTATCAGAGAAGGGAAAGGTTGTTGTTTTGTGGTTTATGCACTATGTATGTAGTGTATAACATACCATGTGTTCCAGGCACGTCTTGGATTTCCAGAGGTGACTTTGGGCATCCTGCCAGCTGCAGGGGGAACACAGCGTCTTCTCAGGCTCATTGGCATTCCTGCTGCCCTAGAACTGATCACCACTGGTAAATCATACACTTAGCCTACTGGCACACCCACAATTCACCCCATCAGATTTCAGCCACTTTACTATCTTCAACCACATGCCCTCTCTGCAACCTTCCAAAAAAAAAAAACATATCAGCCATGTCATGCAGAGAGTATTTCTGAAATTTCCAATTGGCTAAGAAAGAATGAGCTGGTCCCCTAATTCTTTTTTCCCCTGTTCAGTAACTGCCATTGCTATTATTTCGAAAGAGAATTCATAAATAATTAAATAGTTTTTCACTTTAGCAAGTGCTAAATTTAATCTGATAAGGTACATTATGTTAAAAAAATGAAATCCTTACAGCACTTCATGGTGTTTTTAGTAATAAGTAAACATTTTCCCACTAGGTGTCAGCATTGTACATCATTTCTGATTGATTTGCCTTAGGGTTTACAGCAATAGTTCATCCAAAAATGAAAAATTTCATTATTTGCTCACCCTTATGTCATTCCAAACATATGTTCTGATATTTTTTAGTAGAACACAAATAGAAAGAAGAATTTTCACAGTGCCTATTTTTGACCACATATATCTTTATTTATTTATTGTGGGCACGTGTGAACATTCTTTAAAAAAAACGGATTTGTTTTCTTCTGGTAAAATAACAGTATGCAAGATTGAAACTCTATGAGGATGAGTAATTT